ACCTTTTCTTCTGACTTGTAATATAGCATCCTCTATCAAGCTGTTAATAGCTTGTGATTGCCAATTCAATAAGTACTGCCCATTAAAAAAATTAGCACTATCTTAGAAGAAATAAAAACAAAAACCTATAATCTGAAATTGAAAATTATTCCATTATGTATTATAACCTGTAAATTGTATCTTGGTATGGACCAAGATTGAAATTTAAACTTTTCCAAGTTATTTCTCTCCAAAATGAAAGTGCGTCCATAGAAACAGTTGGTGATCATAGTCCACAAAGTGACTGGCCACATGAACCAAATGTACCATTTTTTGTTTTGAGGCATTGAGGCCAGTGAGGAAAATCCTAGCCTGAGATGGTAAATGGATTCTGGGGTTGTCAAATGTGTCAAATGTACCACATCTGTTGAATCTTCTTGCCTTTTTAGTGATTTTTCATATAGTGAATCGGTAGACTTGTCCAGGGTCCCATAGATGTAGTCATAGAATGGCATAAAGAGCGAATAATTTGTTCGGAATTGAGTATGGTGCAGGGAGTGAAACCTGATAAATCAATGTCAACAATGTAATTGTCAATCATAAGATGGACTAGCTAGCAAACTACGTTGCTCTGATCCACACTAATGTTGGATCTTTTAAAAATATATTATAATGAAGGATCTGACACGGATGCAATAATATGTTCGAGGATCGAACAAACGACGTAGTTAGCAAATAATTTCAATCAAAACAAGTTTTCTAGAGACCTTAGTTTTGCCATGCCGCAAGCTCACAAGAATTTTCATATTTGATGAAATTTTAATAAATTTTCACACACACACACACACACACACACACACACACACACATATATATATATATATATATATATATATATATATATATATATATATATATATATATATATATATATATCGTGAAAAATACGGAATTTAATTGAACCAATAGCATATAAGCTCTGCCGGCCTCCGGTTGTGCTCGTGGCATGCCAAAATATATGGAATAATATTGGGGTTGAATGAAAAAGGACTTACGAGGGCGTATACATCAAGTATTTGAGAGGGGGAAAGATGGAGAAAATCCACTTGGGAATGAACTCAAAGTTGCAGTGCCCCATATTATTCATGAGATCAATATAAGTAATGTAGCCAAAGAGAGAAGCCAGGGAAGCAGTCCCCGTGAACACTGTTGATAATGTTGGAATACCAAATAGCAGGAAATATGCTATATGCTCAGCAAACGGATGAATCACAGCTGAAAACATCAAACAAGAAACAAAGAAACATGAAATTAAAACCCCATTTCAAGAATTTATGCCAGATCTAGTAGGGTAGGGCGAAAATATTTTTCAGAAAATAAGTCATTTTCTTACATGTGATGGGCTCAGTTACAATAGAAGAGTGATGATGAGAATGATAACGAGAGTAGAGATAATGATGATGCAAGGCTATGTGGAGCCAATAATAGAGAAATTCAACAGGTCCGGCATGAAGGAAAATTGACATGATTACACCGTCTGATCTCCACAATGGCAAGTTTGTAGCTGCTGAAGTCATCGTATTAAACACATAAAGTACAATCCCGTTCAATATTATCTGATCGTCCCTGCCAGAATTAATATCATGATCAGTTAGTATTACACAAATCGATCATTCTCTAAAAAAATGGAAGAGAGAGAGAGAGAGAGAAAAGACCAGTTGCTTTCTCTGTCGACTTGATCAAACTCGATGCCTTTGTCAACAATGCGGTTGTTGCCTTTGGCTGTTCGATAACGAGAGAAGCTAATCCACAGCTGGTTGTGAACCATCCTTGAGAGTAGAAAAGGAACTATGAGCAAATTGGTGGAATCTCTCTCATCTTGCTCTTTCGTTGCTAAACAATAAACGCTGTGAGCTATCCATGGAGCCAAAATCACGTACTTTAATCATCCCCCATCACAAACAAAGAAGAAATTATACATGTTAATATTCAAATAAATTAATATGATATTGTAATAATAAAAAGTTATAATTGTTTAAGAGTTTAACTTCTATGTATTGACATGGTAGCTGAATTTAATGATAAAATGCATATATACGCTAAGCAGATATCACTTGAAAATAATGAAAAAGAAAAATCTATTTAAAGAGTCACGATTCCAAGACCCAAATTTTAATAGTCGAGTTGAGATAATAAGTCGATACTATTTGCGTAAAATTCAATCTATACCATTTGAAGGAGTATGTTGGATATTTGTGAATAAATTCTTACATGAAAAGTGAAAACATAAATAAAACAACAAGCAATTTATAAGGTATCGGATACTTTTAATGATGTGAGACATTTTGGAAAAACCATGTAAGTTTGATCGAAACTAACTAATAATATTACAATATATTTGAATCAGTTTAGCCCAACAGAGTACAATAGCAGAACCAGTGAAAGAAATTCATGAATGATTGGTACCTTAAAGCTTCCGAGGTGCTTCCAAGGCCAATCAGTGAGAAATCCAGGAGTAGTAGCCATATTTTCTCTGGCTTGCAACTCCTTGTGACTGAAATGGTTAGCTTAATGCAAAATGGGCAAATATATAGACGCTTAAAATTAAATGACAAAACTATTTGGTATACTAGGTGTCAGCTTTTCCACAAACTTTGACTAATACAAGAAAAAGGAAAGCTAATCTTTCTTCTCAACATTGTTCTCAATTTTACCAGTCTTGTGAAACTTCTTAATTCTTACCAATTTTTGTGATATATATAAGTCATAGGTACGCGCTTTGCGCGTTTTATCCTATATTCATGAATATACGATTTTGAGAAAATCTCTATCTTTCTTATATATACTACATAATGTGTTTGAATTGTAAAATAAAAATTAGGAAAAGTAATCTACCATCACATAAGTCCACAAATCTTATTATTATTGTTTTCTCGTTTGCCTCCGTCAATGTTGAGTTAATATTTTACAAGAAGTAATGTATAAAAAATATAGGGAGTTGTCGTTCTTTATAATGAATGAAGAAAAATTACAACTCATTTAGAATACGTTTTGTCTTTTAATATTTTATCCTTATCGCTTCAAGTCTGCTCTATATATAATTTCTCTTTTCGACAATATTTTTCTTATAAAAATAAATTTATGTACCATATGAGTTTTATCCACTTGAAAATTTTTCGTATATGAATAGTTTTAAAAGAAGTAAAAAAATGAATTTATTCTACTATTAGTTATAAAAACTTAATTATTTATTAAAAAATCATTTATTTTATCACATTTTAGTATGAAATCGTCTAAAATTTTACATATTTAACTGTAGTTATAATTTTATCCAATAAAAAATTATTTATAAAGGGTAAAATATCCATCTACTCTTTTACTTTGGATCATCGTATTTGCAGAATTATTAGTGTTATTGACTCTTGTCGACCACATCTGTCATGACCCGGATTTTCCACCCTCGGGAGTCGTGATGGCGCTTACTATTAGGAGCTAGGCAAGCCAATTATTTATTACCTCTTTTAGCAAACCTCGGTATTATTAAAAACAACGAAATATTTAATAGAAAAGCGGAAGTCTTAAATATAAATAAACTGAAAGCAATGCGGAAGTTCAATACAACTCTACCCAAGAACTGGAGTCACAAACTCACGAACGTCTAGAGAATGCTAAATACAATGTCTGAATAAAAACATAGTTTTGTTTGTTCCGGTACAAAGGATAACAAAGTAAAGTAAAGAGAGAAGAAACTCCAGGCCTGCGGACGTCAGCAAGGCTACCTCGGTGTCTTTGGACTGAAGTCAGCTCCCAAATCTACTATTGCTGTCCAAAAGCTGCTCCGGCACCGTGATCTGTGCAAAAAGATGCACAGAGTGTAGCATCAGCACAACCGACCCCATGTGCTGGTAAGTGCCTGGCCTAACCCCGGCGAAGTAGTGACGAGGCTAGAC